TCAGGGAAACTCCATAAGTGTGATCAGCATCTACATTCTGAAATCCACCATGTGTATTCCTTTATAAATTGACTTTATAAATTGACTTCATTAACACAGCCACTCCAACAAAATTTGCCTTTTAAGGGCACACAAGAAAGAAAGGAAAAAATCTTGTAAAACAATATTGAGGATTACAATGAGGATATCTACATTTGCAGAAGAAGGTTTAAAGGCTGTTCACCATTCATTTATTTGTATCACAATGTTTGTCTTGCTCAAGATTTCTTTTAAATTATTTGAAGTCTGTGAAATTTCATATTGTTTCCTTCAAAAATAAACAGTTTCTTTCTATATTCAACTATGTAATAGGACCCTTACAATCCAAACAAGAAAAGAAAGCAGCTACTAAATGTATATATGACCCTATGCTGCTAATTTGGTCCCTTGTTACAGTGGGATATACAGGGATGTCCCCCCTGTATACAGCCAAATTCTCATGGCCCATTAGTGGCTGTATTGATGGAGCTATATTGTAAAATAGATTTAAAGAATTTAATGTCAGCGTGCAAAGAAAGTAGTGTCCGATAGCCTAGGGCTAGTGGATTTTGCTATCGGGCTAGTGAATTCTGTTTTTAACTTGCCCGACGGCTGAGTGATGTTCTTTGAGGAATTTGAATAACAGAAGAAGTGTGAAATCAATTTTGCTCGACGAAAAGCTTTTGGGTCTAGTTGAAATGACGTCTGGGCTAGTAAATGCTAGCTTCAGCTTGCCCGAATGGCAAGCTGTAAAAATGATTTTCTTTGCACCCTGAATGTACTGTTTACTATTGAAACAGGTGCAAGTGCTGTGAAGTATTTTTGCCTATCATTCTCTGATGTAGAAAAACAACTTACTTCTTCCCAACATAGGTAAGAATCTGTTATGATTGATTTTAACCTATACATGTGGTTCAGTAACAGACTGCAGAAGTGATATTTTTATTGTACTAGCAATTGACCAATAATCATCTCATTGGGTGGTGATTTGTATTAGCCCTGACTCCAGCACCTAATTCTTGACAGGATGGGAACACGGGGAAATCCATATTACTAAATTATGATTTGTAAGAAAGCATAATCCCTGTGTTGAAGTCTCTCCTTTACCTCTCCTTACCTTTCCACCACATATTCATGACAGCTTTAATTTCATCCTTCCTTCGATCTCTACAAGCCTTCCTCCTTCTCTCTTCAGGAGACCCTCTGCCTCTTCTGTCATAACACATCCCCCTTTCCTCTCCATGACACCTTCCTCCTACCCTCTTTATGACAACTTCTCTCTTTCTTCTCCATGACACCTTGTCTTTCCCTCTCCATGACTCATTGTATGCTCACCATTTGCACAAACCACCTGGTTGAGAGTCTTGTGGATAAAGTTTGACCCTGTTGGAAAAGGACCCACCACACTTTTTCATTTGGGATTTTCTCAAGTAAATGAAGGGCACCCCTTCTCTCCTTAAATCGCCTATACACCTTCCAACTTCACTGTCTTGATGACACCTGCCTCTTTTCTTTCTAATGACACCTTTCCGCTATCCCCTTTGTGATTCCCCCTTACCTCTCCATATCACCTCTCCTTATTCTCACTCTGTGCTGGCCACTTTCCCCTCTCTTCTTTCTTTGTCACCCCCATGCCACCTTTCTCCTTTGCCCCTTCCAGTTCAACTGTTAGATAGCACTATCCACTAGATAATAATCTATCCATTGGATAACGCAATTATTGTTTTCATAAATACTTATCCACTGGATAGTAATCTATCCGGTGGATAACGCTATCCAACGTTTGAACAACCGGGGCCTGAGGAATAATTCTACTTCTTACAATATCTTTTACAGTCCCTTGAGTTATTAAAACAACTATAATAATTCCTATTTTCTCCTGGAATAAATTATTGTATTGACATTTTATGTGGATTTGTCTTCAGTTATGTGACCAGTGGATCAAACTTGGTACCCCTATGCTGGTCTTGTGTGCTAGTTCGACATGTTTATAGTAACAGCGACTTGTGTAATGATGCACAGTGGAATAGGCTGGTTGCAGCACAGTGTCTGGTACTCCATGGAGTTCTGTCTGCAGGGACAGCTCCTGTCTGCACATCTGCCAGGAAAAAGTTACACAAAGTTTGGAGGGAGGTATGGTTCACATTATTGATTTGTGTCTATGGATATTTTATCAGCTCAGTGACCTGAGGAAAGGGTATGATGTATGATGCCTCCTCCACGGGCTTTCCAATGGCTTAATGGGGGCACAGACTTACCGTGGGTGGAGACAATCGAGAAGTGCTAGTGGGGAACAATGGAAACAAGCACAGAGCGCAAGTGGGGAGTGACCACTCCTGTCGCCCCCACCTTCGTTAAATATCCCAAAAAAAGTGATTGCAAGCAACTGGGGACGAGGCCATTAGTGATATGGGTTCTAGCCTAGTTCTGTGGCATACCATCAGCCCATAAGAAAATTGGGAGTTAGATATTATTATACAGAAGTTTTAAGGTCTTCATCGATCAGTTCTATGGTTAAATACATGAACCTGTGGAATACTGGCTTTGCAGACCTCCTATTTGG